CTCATACTGCCCACATACTATTCTCATACTACCCTCATACTGCTCTCATACTACCCTCATACTGCTCTCATACCGCCCACAAACTACCCTCAAACTGCCCTCACACTGCTCTCATGCTGTCCCCATACTGCTGTCACACTGCCCTCATACTCTCCTCGTACTGCCCTCAAACTGTCTTTACTCTGCCCTCATACTGCTCTCATACTGCCCTCATACTCTCCTCATACTGCCCTCATATTCATATTTACTGAGACAGGTTTTCAGTGAATAACCAGCTATTCAAAACAGCAGATGCAAAGGTAATGTTTGTATCTTGGCGTGGTGGAAACTAAGTGACATCGGTACTTAGATGAATGGACACTGCCTAGCAAAAGAAAACTTTTTTTTTTTTTTCTGTATCTGTTAAACAAGGAGAAACGGCATGATACAAAAACAAAGGCGCCTATATACGCCTTGTTACTCATCGGAATGGTGCAGTTGTGTGTCGCTGAAAATGGAGCGTGCAAACTCGATTTGCACACGGCACTCGGGGCACTTCAGAGGGAAAGCTTTGTATCCCGCATTTCCCATGTGTGCCGCAAACACGCCAGCTCGAGCAGCAGAAATAGGCAGGTCGGCCAAAGCATTGTACAATGTAGCTATTGTTCTATAATTTGTTTGCCTTTGATATTTTGGGGTCTTTCATAAATATTGTATGCCATATTCAATTACACTGTATTTCACTGAACTCTGACTCTTGGTATTCTGCTGCCCTCTAGCGATAATCTGCCAAAATAACCATAAATTATAGAAGGTTCCAGTTCCGCCTAAAGAGGCTTGCGTGGTGGACGCGGACGGGCTCTTTTTCACAGTATGTTAATGCAGAGGCGCTTGAGCGACCCACCTGGTTTTTTCCGTCCTTTTTAACAGTCATCGGCACTGCCACACAGTGGCGGAGCTAGACTTTTATTTAAGGGGTGGCCAAAGGGTGAGCAAGGGTTTCTCAGAGGGCTCCATATAAATATGATAAATGAAGGAAAAATATATTTTATTTATTTATTTAGATTAATTAAATTAATGAATCTAGACAGATAATTAAACCCTCAAATTACAGTATAGTGAAGTTGATTCAAAGCTTTTAATATGACATGCATAGTCTGCTTACATGCAGTAGAAAACTAATGACTGATTCTCCACATATACACTTACCACACAGACTTCAAGCAAGGGTTAGCTTTGCTAAAATAATAAAACAACACTATAATTCAGCATGTGCACTAAAACATACGTACGTTCAAAGACGCTGTCTAAAAGACGATCTATATCAGCACGAGCAGGGCTCGTGGCTAATTTAAACGAGACATGGAGCAGACAGTGAGCGACGCTTTCATGCTGCTATTTTTTATGTACTGCAAGTGTGTGACCACCTCTCATTAGGAAGGTAATACAGTGTAATATGTTATAAATACCTGCTTAACTCCTGCTGTTATCAATACCGCGGGTGTGTTTTGGATCATGTAGGAACGCGTGCCACTGCCAGAGCTTTTTAGCCAATGACATGTCAGGAAGCAGCACGCACAGGGTACTGCTGCGCCGGGATGCCTTCTTGGGCGCTCGGAAATTACAGTTTTCCGCTCAAATCTTTGCCCGATTTCCTCATTGGTATATTTTAATGTTACCATTTCCAGCGGGGTGGCACTGGGTGTGGCAAGGGCTCTGTTGCCACCCCTTTGACTCCGCCCCTGCTGCCACAGATATTCTGGTTTGAGATGCTGGTTCTACACTAAGGCTGTGATTCAGGAAAGCGGCAGGCAGATAAGGCGACTCTACTGCATTTTACCATCAGGTGGTGGTAGCGCATAACTAATGTATGTATTTCTGATTATCAGGATTTTTTCTTAAAGAGTCTTGTTAAGCTATGAATGTGTAGGAAAGACTTTTTAGGCCTTTTAGTAGGCAGGTGCCCCTTGTAGGTCTAAGGACGGAAAGGCACGCAGCGCCCCCGCCCCGTCCCGCCCCCCATTGAAGCGCAGGGCGGCATAGCGGAGCCGTGACTGTGTTTGTAAACAGACTGACGTTGTTGTTTCCAAAGCAGACGCGAGCCGCCACGCCGCTGTTTGCGGAGTTCGGCCGGCGTGCGTCCGCCGCTGGATTCATTATCACCGCAGGCTGTTTGTATAGCTGGGGTGTGTCTCGGTGCTGCCGCAAGGAGGCTGAGCACCTTCTCTCACATTAGACTTCCCGGGAAATCAAGGCATGGGCTGACTGATAACGACAGATTCCTTTTAGCCATAGTAAAATGTCTGTAAAAGTACTTTGTATGGGTGGTGTGTGGCTCAGTGGGTTAGTAGGGTGGGTCCGTGTTCTAGAGGTTGCCAGGTCAAATCCAGTAACCGACAGAGTAATGAACCAGGTGGGCAAATCTCTTAACTCTAATTACTCCTGGGACTGGCTGACCCTGCCTTCTCAATTGTGCATAACTTTGGATAAAAAATTTATGGTGGTCGTTTGTTGGACCTTCTGTAATTTCAGTGTAGACGTATAAATATGTTAAAAGTCAACCAAATGATATACAGATACTGTATCAATGTTCCATGACCTGCTCATAAGCTCTGCTTTAGTCTAACATTGAGCAGTTTTTGAGGTGATAGTCGGTTTATTATTCGTACTGTATCATTTGTATGCACGTGTAGTGACACAGTGGTTCCTACTGTCCTAATAACAGACTAACTTTCCGTCTTCCCACCTTTCTGTGGCCTGTAGTGGTAAAGCATGAACGCCCGGCGGTCATGTGATCTACGGTCCCTCTCGCCGTTGTGCATTTGCGTCTTGATGTTCTCTGGTAACAGGGGTTTGTGTTTTGATAGCGGTTAATGATAAATGGCCCCTTCGGGCTCATGTTCCGTGTCGCTCGGTTCTGGCTTTTGTTCAGCCTGGGAGTTCTGCTAAGATTGACAGGTGAGGATGATTATATGCAGTTCAATAACATTCCATCCTATCAAAAGCAGCAGGTTGATGTTAGAATCTCATTTTTTGATGGTCTCATGGTGGTCGTTTGTTGGACCTCAGAACAATCTGGAAAATGTGCATGTCAGTCTGTGTACCCCTGATAGTTTGCTGTCACCTTGGGCTGAGCTTCTCTCTGTCCTTTCAGCATTATCTCCATGTTCCACAGCCACTGCTGAGGAATCTTGTCGTAGGAGTGACCGTGTCACGCCAGGAATTCTCTCACTCGCCCTGTCTGACACGCTTCTCATTCACAGCTGCCTCCGGTCCAGACTGCCCCCGCCGACCGGCACAGTGAGCCTGCACCAAACAGGGCAGTCTGACTAGCTCATTAGCCAGCTCACGCATTCCCACCATGTCCACTAATAGCCTGGCCCCCTTTGGCTATTTGTAGGAGGGGGGCTGACAAGCCTTATTAAGACATGCATTCTTGACAGCTCATAAGATGCCATAAGGTCGCCTTTGGTTTACTTGGTGACAGGCAGAAAGCACTGGCTATGTCACCGCGGCACATCTGTATGCCTGACGTTCTGCCAGAGGATTGGAGGCAGATGCAGATGCAGGTGAAGGTGCAGCAGAACCTTTCACTTGACAGATCATTCCCCCCGGCTACCTGGGCCACCTAGAGAGCCCAGCACGCCTGTACCCTTGGGTCCTCTGAGTGCTGGATACTTGCGTGCTGACAGCCAAAATGCAGCCCGACCTGTCTGGCGAGGCGGCCCCGCCCGGTAATGCGTTGTGGTTGCTCGGCGACGGACGTCCCCTTTGGCCGGGTGTGGCCACCTGCGGCAGAGGTTGCGCTCGGCAGCACTACGGAGCTGGGACTCAGACTCGGACTTGGACTAGGACTCGCAGCTGTGGGGTGCCAGAGGGTTATCGGGTGGGGGGGGAGTTCTGCCGCTTAGCCATTAGCGTGGAAAGTTCTGCCTGTCCCTCTCCCTATCTCTCCCTCCCTGCCTATTCCCCCACCCAGGGTGCCTGGGACAGGGTGAGGGCAGCTCTCCTCTCAGGACCTGTGAGCAAGCAGGACAGCGACGCGTCCCGGGGACGACATGCTACGCTACAACTCCCAAGTGAGCACTGTCACCTCCACCGCGGCAGAAGCCCCGGAGCAACCAAATGAGGTAAGAGCGAGGGGCGTGGATGGAGCGGCCCCCCAGGCACTGTCCTGCACTCCCCCACACTCTCCCGCACCCTCATCTCTGACTCGCCGTCTCTCTTGCATCCAAGTTGCAGTGTTGACTCACTGCTTCCTTCGGCCTGCCTCCCTACTGTCCCCCTTCCCAGTTTCACATTTTGTGGCTCCTGACTGGTCTTTCCCAGCCTGTCCACCTCACTGCTACTCGTACATCTGCTTCCATACCGCTGGGCTCTCAGTTGAAGCGCGCTTGCTTGCTTTCAGAGGTGCTCTCCGATGGCCTCACTCCGATAGGACCTTCATGTCTTTTTCATTGATGTGCCAGTTCTTCTTTGAGCCGCCTGGCTGACCTGCTATTTTAAGGTGCAGACTCACCTCCTCGGTCCTGGCAGGCCTGTGTCGTGTCCCTGCACTCTAATGTAGACCCCTTTGCATTTGTGACACTCGACGTACCGAATCATTGCTTCTAAAACCGGGAGCTACGCACTGCATTAGCAGACAACTCTGCGATTTAGAATTTAAAGCAGACAAATTGTTCATTGGAATTTATCACTGAAAGTTATAGATGAGAAGAAGCTCCTCTGCTTGGTTTGCGTGTGTGGGGCAGGGGGAGTGAGCGAGGGGGAGTGAGAGTGTTGAGATCCAAAAACGTCTGGGCAGGAGCCAGCTGGAGGCGATGCCATGAGATGAGTCCCCAGCCTACAGAATCTGCATGTTCTCATCCATAAAAAACCTTGGAGGGTATTACTGAGACTATTCATATTTACTGAGATAGGTTTTCAGTAAATAACCAGCCATTCAAAACACAATTCTTTTTTCCTTTCTAATAACTTGAGTAAGTCTTGGCCTGCAGCAATAGGCATTTGTTTTCTTATACAAATATTTAAAGGTATATTTAATGACAAGATTAGATGAAGAAGATTCTTCAGTTGTACTTATTATGGCTTTTTAGTAAGATGGCTTTGATATTCAGTTTTTGAAAGACCAAGCTGGTAGTATGATATCTGCCACAGCACTGGTCAACGCCTTGTAATCAAACATACTTCTCATTCTGCAAGTGTAATTTCAGGGTTTGTGTAAATTCACTTCACGTGTGCGCATTAGATTCAGGAAACAATGAGGCTTGACAGCGAGGACAAATGTCTTGGCATCTTAGAAATAATGAAACACAGTTGCCTAACTTCCTCTGAAAGGACTCTTGGGGTGGGATGTGAAGTTTAACATGGGGTGTTAGCTATTTCAGGAATGTTTTCGTGCAATGGGGCACATTGCTTTCACGATTTCAGCTGTGAGTGTGTAAGTATTTAAACCAGGAGTCCCAGGTGTTAAGGCCTTTTTGCCAAATGGGTTCAATGGGGAAAATCCAGTGTAAATAAGGGTGAAGTTGATTGTTGCACTGGGAGCAGTGTTCTCTCTCACTGCACGTCATCACTGGTGTGGCCCCATCATCTGTGGCCTACGAAAAAAGCTGCTCATTGTCAGATTTTCTAACTGCCTCGTCCCCCAGCCTGAGAAAGTGGGGGCTAGCAAGATATCATGTGCCCTAGGTAGTTCTGTCGGTAAAGATTATTTTTAGTATATCGAAATCTTTGGTTGGCAGGCTTCCCCTCGATGACATGCCATCCTGTTCACACACTAAACCGATTCTGGAATCCAGGGGTCCATTGTGTCCCCCCATGAAAATGCTCTTGGCCCAGGAGAAGTGGGCCTGACACTGGGTACCGTGTTGCAAAGCTTTGCCTGAGTCTGCCTGTCTCTCTGTCTGTGTCCAGAGGACCATCCGCCGGCTGCGGCTCACCCTCCATCCCAGCGAAGCCCACGGACCGGAGGAGGAACGCCGAGCTGCCGGCGATCCTGTGAGTCTGGGGGCACGTGAGAACACAGCCATTCTCCGCATGCTCGGACGACACCGTCTCTCACCTTCTCTCACCATCTCTCACGCACACACACACACACACACACACATGACACGCTACCGGGCAGCATCTGTCTCCGTGCCTGTCTTTGTATCTATATCTGATCTCCTCTCCCGCAGTTTCGGCTGACAATGTTTTTCCAAGTGTTTGCCTTATTTCCGGCAGCATTCCAGAGGCACTCGGCACAGAGGTCATGTGCCCGTTAAGCAACATAACATTACTGTGTATATACAGGTACGTCTTTACTGTGTGCAAGATGGATGATTAGTTAACAGAATAACCCAACCAGCTGGTCAAGAAAGACAGAATGCGACACTTTGGCCTGAAAATATTTACCCCATTTACCCTCCCATTTGACATCATTTGGCTTAGAGTACATCATTATCAGTGTCTTTAAACAGGGTGGTGTTGTACTGGGAGGTGTAGCAAACCAGTAGGAGGCCATAAGCGCTGCCATAGGGATGTCATCGTGGGTTTAGTGTGTTAGCTCTGTCTAGTACCATGTCCCTGTACGTGTAACATCTCATCGTAAGCAGACGTCCTGTATCCAAGGCTACTGTTGTGGTCTGGAATATGTCTCAGTAAATCTGGGGGGTGTGCTGTGATCAGGGACACTGTCGCGAGCCCCCAGCGAAGGTATCCTCGGTGTTCATCGGGCCTTTAGCGGTCAGGTTTAGCGCAGCGCGCTTTTACGAGCCATTTTTCACAAAGCACTTTGCTAGGTTTTTCCCAGAGGGAGAGAAAAAATTAAACTGGCAGTCGGTAAAAGCGGAGAGTCATGCATCAAGCCCTTTTTGGAGAAGCTTCTAACAGAGGGGGGGGGGGGCGCCTTTTAGCTGCAGTGTGTGGGCGCTGCATCCCGGACAGTGTAGGGGGAGGTGAATGGGATGAGGAGAGAAGGAGGGGGCATGCAAGGTGGTCATGTGATGAACATGACAGATCCTCTCCTGACAGTGACTGTATCTGCGGGCGCGTTGTACCCGCCGGAAGGGCATACTTGTGTACGGCCGCATGGCGCCGGCCGGAATGCGGTGACGGAGGAAATCTGCAGCTTACCTAATTCAGGAATGTGAACATGCCTCCTGCATCTCACCCGTCGGAGGATACGTGCTCTGCAGACAGGGCTAAGCCGTCGTCTTCAGGCACGAGAGCGAATGGCCATGGAGAGCAGGACCGGCGCTGAGGAGGGGCACGGCGCTTCCAAAGGCGACGATCGTGGGCGGTCGACGCGCGGGAACGCACCACGACAGCAGCGTGACGCTGATGGAACCACCGGCTGGGCTCATTAATAATGCAGGCTGCCACACACACCGGAGTGTCTCATGACACACCTTCGCTACTCCTGTTGCACGCTGCTATGTTGACCTTCTGTTAAACGTGGGGGCGTTTTTTGGAAATTCTGACCTCAGGTGTATCACTCTGACCACTCTGCCGGCCAGACCATACACACAAAGGAAGGGGAATGCTGTGTTTGATCTCCGAGATCAAACACCTTTCTGTCTTTGAGAGCACTAGCCCATCCCCCCCCCCCCCCCCCCCCCCCCCCCACACACACAATGAGCTCTAAGCGTGTTCATGTGCATGTGTGCCTCTGCAGGGGGCGACAGAGAGCAGCCTCTACAAGAGGAGGAGGAGTGGCTATGCACGGCGAGAGAGGCCCGTAGGCGCGGAGCTCCCTCTGAAGGTGGGGAACATGCCTTGGAGTTCCATACTGCCTGCGTAGAACCACACTCAGAACCGTCACCCTCTGTGTTCAGGATGGGGGCGCTTGATCTTGATGTTCTTGGCTGTGCAAAAATTCTAATTGCGCTGCAGAAGGAGATAAATGTTGTGTGGTCTTCAGGGCTCAAGCAGTAAAAGAACAAAAGCTGTATTTCTGTGATCAAGTATTTACACAGGAGAGCGGGGGGGTGGGAGGGGCAGGGGCGAGGGCAGGGGGCAAGATAGCAACAGTTCAGAAACAGTTCATGTGACACACCTGAATCGGCAGAACGAAAACGAGCAGTGGAGGATAAACGTCAAGGCAACAGCACTGGCAGGAGGGCATGTGACAGAAAGATCTCGCAGGACTGGATGCATCACAGATTCAGGATTTTAGCTTTGCCTGAATTCAGGGGCTGCATCCTTCGAAGGTTTTTGAAGGTCAAACGGTGACCAGTGTGTTCTCCCCCTCACCCTTGAGTCACTAAGCATTGCTCCTATCGTCTAGCTGGGACACGCCCACTGCATGATCCGTCGTGACTTGGCAAAAAGAAGGATGCATTTCTAGGCTGCATTTGAAGGGGCCTTCGGAATGGGACAGTCTTGTCGCACAGCATGATGCATCAGGTCTTCTAATGCAGCCTTAGAAGGACGCAGCCCCTGAATCTGTACACAGCCATTGGCATTTAGTGCTAGCTGCTAATTTCAGACACACGGCTGTATAGATTCCTGCCTGTGTGACTGAGGCCTGACTCAGGTGACCCTCTGTCCCCCAGAGTCAGCCCAGTGTAGCCAATGGTGCAGAGCATCTCTCTCCCCCGCCGGACAGGCCCAAGATCTACGCGGTGGTACAGAGGACTGGAGCTGATAGCAGGCAGGAAGTGAAGGCCTGCGAATGGCCAGTCGATCAATTGAGAAGCGAGGCGAGCTACATCCGGGAGGTGAGCCTGTTGGGGGGGGGGGGGGCTTCACCACGCTGTGCTGGGGAACATCCGGGTTTTTTCCAAATTCAAGGTGTCCCTAGGTCAGCAAGGGAGGGGCTTGTGTTGCACTTCTTTAACCAATCGCAGTCTTCATTGTATGATATCACTTTCATTGGTTCATTTTTTTTTCATCTTCAAACTCAAGGCTCCCAGCCGTTTGGCCTGGCTGGTGTGCGACCCAACATGCCAAGCCTCTGTGCTCATGATCGGAAAGTCACTGGTTTGAGTCCTGCTCGGGCCCTTTACCGTGGTCTTTCAGCTTGTTGTTATTGTCATCAGTGTTTTTTACACACACACACACACACACACACACACACACACAAACACGGTACTGTGCAAAAGTCTTTTTTTAGGCAAGTGTTTGAGTTATTTATTTGGGTAGTAAGGGTGTATTTTCTCCAAATGAAAAACACCATTTAATAATAGAACGTATACAAATTATTATTTTTATTTATTTTATTTATTTATTTGTGATTATTGGTCATTGTTGACACACCACAGCACACAGTGCACAACAACGAAATGTGTCCTCTGCATTTAACCCATATGTGACTTTTTGTGACATAGCAGGGGGCAGCTAATTCAGCACCCGGGGAGCAGTGCTTGGGGGCGGTACCTTGCTCAGGGTACCTCAGTGGGGTCTTATAAGTAAATCAATAAACACTAACAGCGATTTCCTGTGTTCTCCAAAAGGTTTCTGATGGTGGACGGCTAGATGATCTCCGCTTTGTTTCCCAAACCTCTCCTCAGGGGCACCTCAGCCATTCCATGTATTTGTTATATTTCACATCCAGCTCAAATAGTTCATAAATTTTATTTGCTTATGAAGTCTATGAGGTATTGATTATGTGGTGTGTTAGTGGTCAAATCAAAAACTTTCTGGGTATATTGGGTCGTTGCTGCAAATGCTGGGGTGGTTTTAGGAGAAGTTTGAAATTGTTAATGTCAACACACTTTGACTGATGTAATATCATAGTTTTACATCAACATGAAGATCATTTACACTGTTTTCTAAGACTTTTGCACAGTACTGTGTATAAGTAAATATGTGTATATAATTATTATTTTTAGATCTATCATTAAATAAAAACACACCCTTACATTGCTTCATACAGCCGTCACAGGTAGGCATATTCCTTTGTTTTGTATCTATGACATGTCCCTTAACAAAAAGCATACACAATAAAACAGGTATTTTACAAAATCTAACCTTGCAACACTGCTTTTAATTATTGCGGTGATGTCACACAATGAAGGCTGTGATTGGTTAAAGAAGTGAAACACAAGCCACTCCCTTGTTGACCCAGAGAAACGTTGAATCAGGATGTGCCTGTGCTGGGGGCTGACCAATCAGCCGTCAGGAGGTTCAGGAAGAACATGGAGAAGGAAATGTTTGTCAATATATGGATGCAGGGTTTAATTCCTGATAGAGAAAGTTCTGTTCAGACCAAAATATAGTCCTATAATATCAAGCATTTACATGTTTCATTGCCAACACTGCACAGGTGCGGGAGTCCCTGGAGAAGGTGAGGGAGAGGATGTCTGGGCAGTTTAGCGGAACGCAGCAGACGATGCAGAAACTATCGCAGGAAATGCGGGTGAGTCGAAACGAGCAGCAGGTGGCCGTAGATGTTTGTGTCACGATAAGCTTCCAAAAAACCAGGGGGAGGGGTCGCACCCTCAGAAGAATGTATGAGCTGAAAGGTATTTTCTGAGGAATGTAACTTCTTCACCTCTGTCTGCCCACATCCACAGTCACAGATTTCCAGTGGCAAGAGGAGGAACCAAGAGGCAGATGTAAGGGTGAAGAACTCGGTGATCGATTGCTTTGACCTGATGAGCATCTCCTATCTGTAAACATTGACCTAGAAGTAGATTTTGATGCCAACATTGAAATGCCAAGAAACTGTGCCCCTGCTTCAGGCTCGCTGCCCCAGAAGCCCAGTAAGACTGTAGTAGTGACACCTGAACCGCTATGCATTCAGCAGGATGGCCTGTTGATGTACTTAAGCTTCAGCATTATCAGCACTGTCATGCTTTGAAGGTGGCTGCTTCACAGGGTGTCTGGCTGTCTGACTAACCTCTACATGACTCACGCAATGCAGAATCCTCTGCCGGATAGATGCGTCGGCTGCACAGAGACGCGCAGCGAGATGGGGGTCCTGCGCAGCTCCTGGGAGCAGGCGGAGGAGAGGCTGCAGGAGATGGACAGGAAGCTGAGTGCAGCCCAGACTGAGAACCACACACTCAGGCTGCAGGTATTGCTCAGGTCTCTGGGGGCAGGCAGATGCCAGCCGCTGGGCGGTCATGTGACAGGAAGCTGCTCGGAAAGCATGTCAAAATAAAACAGAGAAGCCCCAGAAGGGTGTGAGCCAGTCAGTGCTGCAGGGCAACAGGGAGTTCACATGTAATTTAGGAATAATGAAAGTTATGCAATTAATCCACTTGTAAATCTATAAATAAAACAGGGTGGAACCACTAATACGTAGAGGAAACTATTCCTCGCCTTTTAACAGAACCTACACTTTGAGTGGCACCATCAAGCCATCAGTTTCGTCTTTTTCCCTCCACCGATTTAATGTCTGTTTTGCATCTATCTTCCACTTTCTTATACTCAACCATATATGAAACAGCATTCAGAATGTTGTACAAATCTAAATTATCGATGCTTTAAATAAAGTTTTATGTGTTTGTATGAACTCAAATGCTTTTGTTGTTTAGATAAGACTTGACTTCCCTGGTACTGATGTATTTAAGCTTGATTACAGCCCCCCAAGGCTGCCATTTATAGAGATTATATTCAGTCGCTTTCATGTGTATCCGCCCTTCTTCTGTGCTTTCTTCCAGCATGGCAGACCAAAAGCCACACGTGTTCACTTCTTACACGCTTTGCCACTGTTTCACTGTCGCTAGGTGGAATCCACACAGGACGCGAACTCCCAAGCTCTCCGCGACTTGACCCAGAGACTGCAGAGCCAGTATGAGGTTCAGCTCCAGGAGCAGGAAGCAAAGTACAGGGAGGAGATCACGACTCTCAAGGTATATCGGCCTGGCTGGTGTCTCCGGGTCACGTCAACCGTTGGGAGGTGACAGGTGGAATTTGTGACATATCAAAAAGTACATGTATGACCAAAAAAAAAAAGGCTTCTCTGGTGAATGACCTGGACGAAACAGGTACAGGTTCAAGTGTCAAATTGGAAACCAGTATTGAATTATTGTTTTTGTTGTAAGGTATGTGGCATGCTCAGCATGTAGAGTTCAGTCAGCGCCATCTAGTGGTGACTTGTGGCGTTTGCAATTACAAAAGGTTTAATGGTAGTCAGGAGGTCAGATCCAGCATGGAGGAAGGCCTACTTCATTTGTCAGCTGTAGTTTGACATTGTTGGTTTTCTCTTGTTCCCAGATGCACTTGGATGAGTGCCTTAGACGGGCCGAGGAAGCGGAGAGGAAGGCCAGGTTGGCAGAGGCTGAGATAGCGGAGAAGGACAGGAGGGTCCATGAAGTGGAGCGGCTCTTGGGCTGCATGGGCCAGGTGAGGCAGCGGGGAGCCGCGCCGCTCCATGGGATCTCAGTGTCGTGCCACAAGGAAGCGTGGGCCAGACTGTTGGGTGCAATGTCGGGAGGCTGTAATCGCAAAGGATTCTTGCCGTCTCGCCCGTTGTCCATCCAGGAGAGGACGCAGCTGGAGGGGAAGCTGCGGGAATGTGAGGAACGGCTTCAACGGCTGCAGCAGGTGCAGCATGCGGACACAGCGACCGCCAGGAGGTAACGGCCGGAGACTCCACCTCATTTCAAGGCTTCGTTTCACTTGATATCATTTCAATCTCTTCATCCAAAACGACTTTCACTACATATAGTTTTACATTTTAACCCATTTACATGGCTGGGTGTTTGGCTGAAGCAATCAGAGGCAAAAATCTTTCTCACGGCACAGGAAATAGGACTTTTACTCTCCAGTGTGACGCCTTAATGTGCCGACTATCTGAGGCTGACTGTAATAACCTCCTGCAGACCCCGGATGGTGAGCAGCAATGCTGTCCACTGATTGGCTACCTTGCAGGTCCCGACAGCTGGAAGAGGAGGCAGCTGGGCTGAAGGAGAGGATCAAGCACTTGAATGACATGGTGTTCAGTCAGCAGAAGAAGGTGAAGAGCCTGATTCAGCAGGTGAGGAACATAAGTCCATGTGCAACCCAAACAAACATGGGCCAGTGGTGATCAGCAGAGATGGATAGTTCAGGTTGAGAAAGTAAAAATCAAGACCAAGACTTTGTTTCAACCAATTAGCTCAGTACAGAGTGTCACAGTCAAGAATACTCACCCGGTTGGTTGAAACCAAATCATGGTCTGGATTTTTACTTTCTGGACCTGAACTATCTACCTCTGGTGATCAGAAACTGGTGTGCAGGTTTTTCTCCCTATTGGCTGTGTTCCCTAACACTGCCTGTAACCCCCCCCCCGCTCATACACACTCAGCTGGCTGGGCATCATGGTACTTTTCCAGTTATGATTTTATGAAACCCAGAGTCAGTGTGCAGAATCAGTCCATCTCTGTTCACTATCAGCCAATCCAGGAACAAGTCCAGTGATAACAAACATACAAGACTACGAGACTGTAGTAACATCTGAAATATGAAGTCTATCGCTGCTGGCCACACAGCTTTAGGTATGACAGGTTACTTTGATCAGATGAGGATTTTCTGAAGAGATAAATGTTAAGTACTTGTCAGGACTGACATAATGGCATTTCTTCTGTGATCTAAAACCCTCAGTCCCATGTCAGCCATCTACTACAGCCCTGCTCCTTGCTGAGTTTTGCTGTGTCATGTCTGAATTTTTAGATTGAGGCTCTGAAAGCCAAGGTGGAACAGAAGGAGCAATATATTACAGAGCTGCTGGACCGAATTGCCATTGTGGAGTGTGAGGTAAGGCCTTTTGGGGGACATTTACCAATCTAAAGGCCAGGTGCGTGCAGTGGATATATCGCACTGCAGCACAGCGCACCTTTGAGGAACCTAAAGCTGGGTACCAAGTAGACAGCAAAACACAAGTGCCAACCAAAGGCAATGAATGATTGGTTCCCGTCACCTTCTGTCCCTCCCGTCGGTTGTGAAAATTTGTACTGGAACACACCGGCACAACTAGACATGACAGGCGACATACAACCCAATGAGAGAGCTCAGTTTCACCAACTGGCTTTCCTGGTGATTCAACATGATCAATCAGTGAACAACCGTGTCACACACAGCCGCACGACGGTCACCGACTCTCACTGATAACCCCACGGCTTTCAATGGCCGAAAATCAGTTTGATGTATTCCAGGCTTAAGTGACATAGTACCACTCATTACATTTCCACTACTAAAGCATTTTGAGCTATGCGTCAAAGTGTACATCACCAGTGGTCCCCAGGTAGTTAACACTGACCATTCACATTTGCTGAGCATCAGACCACCAGCAGTTTATTCCAGTGCCAAATGTCATCGCATTTTCCGACAGTCCAGTTTCGTCTTTTTCCCTCCACAGAATAACGAGTTAGAAGACAAACTGAAATATTACACCTCGCTGGAATCTGAGAGACAAAATCAAGCCACAGTTTCACATGCAGACCAATCTAATCCTCTCTCCCCACATCCAAGGTCTGCTCCATCGAAAATATACACGCCTTACATGAGGCTGATGGAAATCACAGCTGCGATTAAGATCAATAAAGAATATGAATAACATTAAGACTAAAATGTACAATTTCTTACTGTGAAGATCACCGGAATGTGCCGACACTGCTCTTAAAAAGATTTTTTTTTATTTGTGCACACACTGTTTGTTTGTGTCCCTCTTCGTGTGTCTGGTGGGAGGGGGGG